TATAATATACGAACAGAAGCGGCGTTAAAACTCATTCTAGCTGCTCTCCTAAGCCGAAAAATACTTTTTCATTACTTATTAAACATGAAAAACTGGATTATTACTTATACAACATAATCCAAAGAGGAAGCCCATCCGATTGCGTTCCGTGTTAAACCTTCTATAGTATCGATTGCTTCAGGTTTTAACAGGTATACAACCGATTGCGTCTTAAACGAAACAATGAACATTTCGAATGCGTCCGGCAGTAGGCGCGTATAGCTAAGAGGAGGGGGGAACTTGGGATTGGCCCGGCCTCCTTTAAATTTAATTTTGTCCGGGACCGGCCCACCCAAATTTAAAATATAATTTTACAATTTCGAATTTTTACATATCACGTTATATTCCCAACTTATTCCAACTTTTATTTAGTGATCACCGAACGTAATGTAAATGATCAATTTTTCGTTTGGGACGCAATCGGATGCATATCTGTTAAAACTGGACGCAATTGAAACTCGAGAATAGTGAAGAAGGTCAAAAGTAACGTAATCGACAAACTTGGTTTTAGTTTACCCGGCTATTTGGATGCAATCGACTGTATCCTAATCAAAATTTCTGCAATATGTTATTCGATTCTACAAAAACAAAACGAGTTATAAAATCATTTGCTGTTTATTAGTTTATAAAAGAAAAAGAAAAAATAATTTTGAAAAATTTCCTTTTTTAATAAATTTGCTCTCTTAGGGGTGGGTTTTTTTTTTTTTGGTGTAAGAGGAATGATTATTGAACTAATTATCATAAAAGCGATAACGGTTTTCATTATGAGGAAAATTGAAAAAGTCAATTTTTTAAAACAAATTTATAATTGTATACAATAATAGTTGAACATTTTTTTTAATTTTAACAACTACATATACGTATATACTGGTTGTTTTAAGGTCTTCAAATATTTCCATTCCGTTTGCAGTAAATTCCTTATTACAGACTTTATATTATTTTGCTGCCGACCATAATAATACTATAGTAAAAATCTGTGGATATTATATTGGATTTATTTCTCTTTGAAAACAGCTGAATAAGGAATTTTTAAAAAAAAACTAGCTCACCCAAGAGCACAAAGATGTTGTGTATATTAAGTTGATCGAAGAACCGAGGATTTTTTTTTTATAATTTTGGTTATGTTATTCAAGATTTATGTAAAGTGCACATCGGATATCGTTTAAAGTTTTTTTTTTTTTTTTTACTAGTACCAAGTGACGATACTCGCGTATTAAATTGTGGATTGATATATTATGCACCGAAACTTTATGTAAATAAACGAAATTATTCATAGTGTAATTTTCTGTGTTTCGAATAATGTCGACAAATGTTTCCAAAAAAGATACGTTTTTTTCCCCACGAAACACCGAATAGGAGTTTCGCGTTTTAAACGAAAACGATGTACGAAATGTATAAAAATATTGTGATTTCACGAAATATTATATAATATTCTAAATTTGTGACTAGAAATGCAGACGCACTTCCAAAGATTAATGGTATTTGTCCATCGCCACGAAAACGCGTCTGTCCGTCGTCGATGCGTTTGAAATCCGTTTCAAACAGTATTATATTATTTTGCGAACACCGAAACCTGTTATTATTATACAGTGGTTTAATTTTTTAAAAACTAGAACCGCGACCGATAACGAACCTCGACGAGTCTATTCAGACGACGACTATAATAATATATATAGCTAGCTGCTGCAGTATGACATTCATCGACTTGAATATTGTATAGATCGTTCCATTGTCCCGTCGTTGGTGGTAACGGTTATTAAAAATACACGTACCTACGTGAATATCGCTTGGAAATCGTTTTATTTTTTGTGTATATTATACGCGACTTGTTAATACGCTTAGATGAGAAAGAAGAAGTGAAGGAAAAAAAAACGCGTTTCGAGGCGACGGTAACGCTCGTCTCTTTTATTATTGTTCGGCTGTGTGCGTGTAAGCGATTCTATGTTTTTCGGAATAATCGCGTATTTCACATCGTGTGACCTAAAACCGATTTAACAGATCGACATAAATACAATATACCTATATTACTTTAAAATCGTTACTTCGAATAATAATTTAAATATTGCGATCTATTAGTTCATTGAACCGACGACGACACCGTATTTATAACTCGCCCGAAGAGAGGATATCGCACACTCAACATATTTGACAAAATGTCGCACGTAGGCAATTTTTAATTATTTAAATACATAATAACGGGACGAGCCCAAATAGACAGGGATCTACGAAAACTAAACTATAATAGCTAATTACATACTGACGGCGAAAAAGAAGGCATCCTAAAAGCTGATTAGAAATGAACGTTCGTAGCTGGTGGCGAGAATTTTCCGGATATAACTGAAGAATTTTCATGAAAAGACGCTGGAAAATAAGGAAAATGTAAAGCGAAATTTGAGCGTGTGAAATGGGAATGGAACGAGTAAGGAAACTTTGAAATGGGTAATAACCATGGACAGGATGATAAGTAAATATTAAGTCGTAGATGAATGAATAAAATTAATTTTAAAATACCCTACTATAAAAATCGTGATATACACCAAAATGTTTACGGGAAATCCGTAAGAAAACTGCGAAATGATATCAATTAAAAATATTTTATAACAGGTACTTAAACCAATCTCTTAAACCAATTTCAAAGACCTTTTTTTTTACACTTTTACATATACCGACATAATTTTGCCATATCGTCCGTTTAGAAAGATTGAAAATGTTAATAAATTTGATTCATAAGATTGTTATAAAAATATTTTAGCTGTTTTTCTCGAAATACTTACTGTATTTTAACGTTGATGGTGATTTTATCCACGCAAAATAAAGAAATTATACATAATACCAAATAAAGTAACATAATATCTTTAAACCACAACATGCACACAAAGTCAAACCGCAATCGCTGCTATAATAATATGCGAGATTGCCCAACCAAGTCGTGTATACGAATTAACGAGTGAAATATATTTGTATAGTAACCCACACAACCCACACAGACGTTCCTGAGAACTGACTGTTAGTATCCAATTAATATGCCTATCAGGAACATCCTGTTGGAAAGCATTTTAACCTTATCTTACCGTTGTTTATTCTTTTATTCCTGATAGTTGATGATTGTCCATTTCAGACAAACGACGCCGCATATATCATAGGGTGCCCACCGAGTCCCTTTGAACATGTATGGTAGACTAGTTATTTTAGCCAGGATTCATACAATAAATAACAATAGCGGCGTGAAATATTTTTACCTTGAATCACTGATTTAATTTTCTACCCATCCTAATCGAAAAATACCCCACCATAAATGTATTTAAATTCTTTTAATGACTTTTGTTTTGTGAAAAAATAATTTGTATGGTAAATAAATATATAAATAAAAAATGTATGTATAAAAATAAAATTAATTAATTAATTAATGCGTCGCCTGGACTCCTGGAGTATTATGATAAGCATATTATACGACCGGTTTCGAATTAAAAATTCATCATCAGGTATATCACAGTCAAAATGTAAAACGCAACTCCAGGCGACGTATTCATTTTAACGTTTGATACCCTTGTGAAAAATTCAATTTGCATCACTTTGTGACGAAGAATTGTTGTGTCCCGCTTACTATATGCTGGGTATAACTTACTGCAACAGGATCCGAATTCTCGGATATTAGGAAGCCTATAGATTGTTTTAATATATCTTCCCGGATGGTTGAAAACCAAAACAAGAATTTTCTTTTATAGATGGTGGATTTTAAAAGGCGTATGTTATGTAGGAATTCCTTATTGGTTTGATGATATCCAGTACTGTGAGGGATTCTCCAATATCTTAACCGATTTTTCGACATACCGATTTAGAATTCGTTATAATATTATCATTTTAAATCGTCAGTGATGTATATCGCGTTACATTTTACTGTTTCGTGAAATACATAATATTTTAGAAAATGTTTTATAAGAATGATTTTTTTTGCACTAAACTTCGGTTTAGTTATGAAATTTATAATACCTTTATGTCTGCAGTTGTCGCAATGGGATATTTCATTTTATTTTTTATTAAATATTACTTACGGTTTGCGGTATTGTTGGTGAAGCAGCATTATATAAATAAATAAAAAAAAAAAAACAATATGTATCATGTAATTTATTCACTCTATTCCACGTTTAAAAATATTCTCTTATTTTTAAGGTAAATATTTTTTAATACTTAAAAAAAAAGTGTATATTAAATATTTATATCGAACGAAAATATGTTGAAAGTGGTGAATTTTCTATTTCTCGTTTTGCTTAAACACGCTTTCGGTTTTTTTTTTTGGCATTGTTAGAATAGTTATACCGAATGAAGATTTGTCTTTTGATATCGAAATCGGTCGTAAATTCACTTTAGACTACTTACGTATCTTATAATATTATTTTATTTTATAAATATATATATTTTTTTTTTCAAAATATGTTATTTTAACATTCCGACCGCGTTTCTTTTGTTTTTTTTCAAAAATTATTTACGTTCGCGCGTCGGGATGAGATTCAAAACCCTTCGGTCGAAGCATACACGTTTCGTTATCCTTCGTCCCCTTTCTACACACATAATCGACGGCGGCGGTTTGGTTAGGATATATTATACAATGTTTTGGCCGTAACGAAAAACCTTAGCGGGGGGCGCGTCAGCCCGCCACCGGTTTTGTTTTCGCGCCTGCACCGGGTAATCGGCTTACGACGGATTACAAGTTTTCAGAGGCGTTACACCGGAATGAAAGGCGCGTGCACCTAACCGCGGACACGCGTCGTTTTTGCACCCTCGTATCGATATACCACCCGTGACCAGACCGAAACGTGTTATAATTACTATTAGTATTATTGTCGCAAATTCGTTACCAAATACTCTTGTATGTAAAAAAAAAAAAAAATCAAATGTACATTTTAAATTTTTCGATTTTATTCAATAAAAAAAACAATATGATAATAAGTATTTCAATAGTTGCTGTCGGCAATGAGTGCAGATAATACACGCGATACATATAAAAAAAAAAAAAATCACATATAATATAATATAATATTATGTGTATACAATTTACATAAAAAATTTCGAATAATGCGTACAATTTTATTAGTATTTACCCTAAGTACGAAGTTATCGTGGCGCTTGCCAGAGACATATTACTGTATTGGAATCATAGAAATGTGGAGAACAATAAGATGTCAATACCAACTTTCTCCCAGTAACAAATATCACTGTCCAATTTTCGCGTAGGACATTATATACAAATCATAGATAATACATAATTATGAATGGGATATTATAGGTGTAGGTAAGGGACGGGATTAACCCATTCATTTCGAAATTATAAAAGGGAATTTTATTCACTGATAATATATTAAACAACTGATATTCGAAACCCCCATTGTTAGCAAAATCGAGTTCATATCTTTTACTCAACAATAAATTAACTATGAATGTTTCTCATTGCGTATAGTGAGAACTGACTATACTTTATTGACGTGGGAGTGAGAAGATTCAGAAACGCTTGATAACCAATACAAACTATATCCGTTACATTACGTATTATCAAAGGTACAAATTAATTATAAAAGAGCACCGGAAACGGGAGAATAAACAAAATTAGTACCTAACAGTATCGTCTCGTAGAGGTATACTTTTGGTAAAAGTGGACTTTTCCGTTTACCAAAAGTTTCGTAGTCGTCTCAAGAGTAGAACATCATGGGTTCTTGGCACCTCTGGTCCACAGCCGATTGGTACGTCGTCAGCGGTCCGTGATTGTGCCACGCGGTCTGTTGCGACCAAGTCGTTTGGTATTGGTCGCAGTATGACACAGCCGCCGCCGTCGACGTCGTCGTCTCAGACCACGTCTTGTCGGTCGACTGTTGCTGGTAATGGTGCATTTGCTGTAGGTGATAATGCTGCTGCGAAGCGTCACTGGTTTCCAGTCTCGGAAGATACCCATCCGGCCGGTAACCGTGGCTGTGATAACCGGAATAATCGTCGAGGTGACCGGTAACGTGTCGGCTCTGGTCCGTCGTCGCGGATTGTGGTTCGAAGTAACCCGAGTCGTTGAGGCTGCAGTTGAGACTCGTCACCGTCGTGGAGTCTCGGTTCGCGGCCGATGGCGACTTTTTCACGGGCGTTGAAGTCGCCAGCGGTTCGTCGCACGGTTTCTTTTGTTGGGCCAGCGCGCACGTTCCCGTCGACGAGGTGATCTGGAAGTATTATGCATAGGTTATTATTATAATTATTGGTCGAAATTGTTTATTTAGAATAGCCGTGAAATTAGTTACAGAAGAATTTGGAAAATCGTAGTATTCTCGATTACGATAAATTACTACGTGACCGCTATGAACAATAATAGTTCAGGTTGTAGGTAATAATATAGTAATATAATAATATAAATAAATAGACTTATTTTTTTTTCATAGAAATTATAAAAATCTATTTCATTCAAAAACATTTAAAGACATATAGTTACATAAAGGTAACTGAAATAAATAAATCGAAAAAAATATATTTGTACCCGTATAAATCCATTTGAAACATACCTATTATTATAATATTAATAGTAGGTAGAGAGAACGTTTAAAAAAAATCCGTTAAAAACGCATGTTCGTTTTATTATAAAATACAATCGCTACTATAAATGCCTATTATTCTAACGAAACCATAAAAGGAAAAAAAAATGTAGTAATATTCTGATTTATATTGTATAAAAAAGCCCGACCTTCAATGTACGAATAATCTTTTAACCTCGTACGAGGTTAAACGAAAAGAGATATATGTATATTCGTACATATTTTCGATTATCAGATTCATAAAACATTTAAATTTTAACCTCGAAAAATAGAAAAAATTTAAGCGCTAAAATCGACTTTTTATTCTTACCTTGTTACCGTTTTGGCCGATGCTGACCGTGACGTCACCCATGGTGAGCATCAGCGGTTGATCTTGTTCCTGTAACGGTGATTTTTCCGTAGATTCGACGACTTGAAGTGTGTGAGACAGGGCCCAAATGTAGTTGTGCGCGAAACGGAGCGTTTCGATTTTCGTCAATTTCGCATCGTCCGGATACGTGGGCAAAACGCACCGGAGTCTGTCTAGGGCCTCATTCAACATGTGCATCCGATTCCGTTCTCTGTCGTTGGCCTTCATCCGACGGTGTTTTTTGATTTTTATTATCTATAAAAAATACAAAAAAATAAAATATATAACAATCGTTAAAGTTGTTTTTTTTCTCCTAATGAATTTCTCTTAGTCACAATATTTGTTAAATTTATCCTAGTAATCATAATTATTATATTCTTGTTACCTGCGTCGGACTCCGTTCTCTCGTTCTCCGTTGACGTCGTTTTTTCGGTTTGACCTGCAAATCGTCGTCGGCCACACTTTGCGCGGACGACGCGAAACCCTCGGAACCCATCGTGCAGTCGTCCAACGAGAACGCCGCTTCGTTTTCAGAGTCGAAACTCATTTCGAAACCCGAATCAGAGCTGTCCAGTCCGTACAGACACTTCGGATCCATGGTCGCCAAAAGACTGCTTGGGTTACGCGGCCCGCGTATTTGCGTCGATCGCACCCTCGCTGGGCACCCGGTCGGGGGTGGGCGGACCCGCTGTCGCGCTATTGGACAAGTGCATACACCCTCGTCGTCATCGCGTGCGTGGGGGTCGTGGTAGGAACGATCGTTTTTTTTTTTTGAGGGGGAAGGGGATGAACTGTTGTCGCCCGGAAATCGCGAATTTTACGCAGTTTTTTCTCTCGAAATTCGTTTCGACACATAAACGCCGCGTCGCTTTCCGGGCAGATGTAATATTATTATTACTATTATACTTATTGTATCGGATACGTCGCTTTCTGCCGAAAATCAGAAAGGGTTAAACACTTGGTTTTTTTTATATCCTTTTTTTATATTATTTTTAGGTAGGTACATGTTTCGCGAACATCCTACGGGACGCGACGATAAATCAAACGATATTATTATTGTAGCGATGCGAAGCCGATGCAGTTCCGACTGTGTAGCTAATCGGAAATGATACGTATTACGTATATTTATTGTAAGTGGAGTAGTAGAGCGAGTATATATTACCGAAAACGGTGTATTAATCAAATTAAATCTAACGCGGTAGAGAAAAGGGGTAAAAAAAAAATTATATTTTTTACATTTTTCGTTATTGAAGTAACGAAGAGCTATCTATGTGCAGCCGGCCGGCTGATGGGCGTCTAATAGAAATAATGTTGACTTTAATCGATGTATATAATATATTTGTACGCAAAAATAATTCTCCGTACGCTGCAAATACGACCCTGCAGCCAATATCGAGAATATTGAATTGACCCACGTAAACAATCGTACGAATATTCGTGGTTAACCGCATGTAGTTTTCCAGAAAACGCATGATGTAAATGTTTATATATCTTTCAAAGTGTAAAATGGTCGATTTATTTATATTTTTAATAAATTTGTGGGTCGTATTTCCATGAACTTATACCTACTTATACTTATACTTATACATAGAGCTGTGCAGAAGTTTGATCATTTTATCGTATTCCAGGTTGAAACATAGATTTAAGCGGATTAGAATTAATCCGTTTAATCCGGTTTAGCGGATTCAGCCTTTGACAAAAGTGTAAATCACTTCCAAACTTTTGTCGTTATAAAATTAGAGTCATATGAGAAGTTATTGTCCAGTGTTACAAAAACCAAGTTAGAAATGTTCAGTCTACGTGAGTGCAAAATTTCCGGTTTCTAAAAGTATTTTAAAAAGTAAATTATAGTTTCATATTCATAGCATTTGCTAACTAGTATATTATATTTATATGTAGAGATCTGAGTTTGGATATTCAGTACTTGTTTTTTATTTTGGCTAGTATGAGTTTTTATTTAACACTCATATTCAAATTCAGAGCGTATATCAGTTCTCTCCTCGTGATGAGAAACAAAACCACAAAAGAAAAAAGTACAAACTATTAAAATTTGAATTTATTATCGGTATGAAATTAATGTTAACGAATTGATAACTCTGGACTATTATTAGACACGATTATCGGCTATTTTATTTCGAAATGTGACTCTTCCTTTTACCCCTATATATCTTTATTTACACTAGCCGACATGGTATTTTGACGTTTTTATAGGTTCACAATTAGGACATAAACTTTCTTGGAGCAGCATTAGTTTTGTAATTAGGACGAGATTTTGAACTTGGTACATCTGAAATTTGATATTTTGGCCGTTTCCCTATTACCCCGGGAGAACGGTATCCCTAGACTCGACCTAGTGCTTAGAACTATTATTCCATGATTAGATTTTCAATATCATGCAATATATTAAAGAAAAGAATAAGAAAAAAAAATATATACCAACAGATCCCGCGTTCTACACCCATTACCCGGAAAACCGTGACGGCGGCATCGGCGATAGTGATAATAAAAATTAACCGTTACACCTAAATAATGTTTCGATAAGAGAGCGCGTTATTAAAATGACATTATTATATTGACACATTCGAAGCGAGTGACGATAATAATTACTATTATTATCATATTCTGTTGTTTACGAACCTGCAGTACTCGGGCACAGTTTTCAGGTTTCGCTGCCTGTTTGCGATAAAGTCCGTTATTAAAACGTTCCGGTTGATGACACGTTATTTCGACGGTTAAATTAATAAAAAAAAAAAAAAAAAAACAAATCGTGTTGATTCCTCGACTCCTATAATATATTATTATAGCAGCAGCTAGTGATCTGGAGAAAAAACGCTTAAGTCATTCGCGCAGACACGCCGTGTACGCTTAATAATCTTTTAATCGTATTATAACATAACGATTGACCGCACCGCGAGCAAAAAATAAAAATTATATCCGCGCGAGATATTCGCCATTAAGTGCCGGCAGGTTTGTTTTTATTACCCATATAGGTGTGAAGTAAAACGCACACCGTATGATATTATCCGAAACGAAAACACACTCGCTGTAAATATTTTTAAGGGTCTAAAATTAACAACTACACGCGGTTAGGGTTCGTTCCAACTCCGGTTTTGCCGACTGTTAAACCGCTTTTATCGGGAATTAAAAATCTTTCCACTTTGCCGACACGTACATCGATTAAATTATTATTTTAAATTGGTAGGTATTATTATTATTTTATTATCAATTGATTCTTAATTTCATTATCGATTATATTGAAATTAGTTAATTCGGTCAAAAACCAAGGGTTTAAAGCTAATTATATATTCAGTTGAAATAAACTTTCTTTTTAAGCGTTGTACTCGTTAAGAGTACGCTATACCCGCATATGCTGTCTTAGCCCAACTAACGGGCAATATGGCAAAGTATACCTTACGCAGATCGCGTGGAACTCGCTTAATTTTGGTTTTAGAGTAAAACCATTTAATATGAAATTCAAAGAGCATAATATTTCGGATTGCAAGTCGATGAGTTTCCATTTTTAAATGTTACAGTCATTTACAAATGGCGAATCGGTTGTTATTTCTAAACGTTATATCCGGAATAATAATAATAATAACAACAGCGCTTCGTTTTGAACTCCGGAATATCGTTCTCTTTTAATTTTATATTAGGTACTTTAACTCTAAAACCAAAAATAAACGAATTCTACTCACATTGCGTACGGTAGATTTTGTCATAACGCCCGTTGGTTGGAGTGAGACAGCATATGCTGACATAGCGTCCTCTTAACGTTCTGGCCTTGAATGCGATCGGTAAAATAACTTTGCTTGAAACGCAATATATGTTTATTTTGTCGGTATTTTCGGTTAGGTCATCCTCCAATCCGGACATGTTTTACCGTATAGTATTCGAGTAGCACACGGCACGTAATTAACATATAATAACATTATATTATTATATTGCTCGCCAGAAAAATGATAAATGACGTACCGACAGCTACAACACTTTCAATAAACCGTGTTTGTGTACCGTCATGTGAATATTTTGCCACGGGTGGCATTGTTACGATTAGAAAAAAAAAAAAAAATATATACACTCGTCTGTCTGAAATTACCGTTATGGCGTTATAAAGAGAGATAATAATGTTTGGTAGGTACCTATATTCCTTCCAGGATGTAACCATGTAAAGAAACTGTTTCAATGGAATATTATTATTATTTTCCAGACAACGAAAATTACCTACGGCTGCAAATGATATTACTCCGTTAATTTTCTAACAACGGTTCAATGGCTGTGTTCTTTTTCGAGTAGATTAACTGCTAAATAGTGCGCTATTTATATGATAATGTGTAATATTAAAGCCTTTTATTAAAAAAAAATTGTCTACCAGAAATCTTGCTCCTGTTAAATACTTAATAGAAACATTGTTGTAGAATTTTTGATACATTTCAATCATTTTTTTTTTTTTTGATATTCCTTGTGGTTTTCTTAGGTAAAAAATTAACAACACCAAATAATCAATCGGCTTAGAATCGTTTTATTATTATTTTTTTTGTTAACAATGGTTTGTCGTTGCGTTTCTATACAGATATAAATTAAATTAATCTTAAGTACTTAATTATATTATCCTCCGTTCCAATTTCCTTTTTTTCCAGTTCACCGAGTTCATATTCATTGAAATGTCTAATCATTTACATCGTATGGTTTTTTTCCATTGAATCAGTTATATTGACACGTATTCTAAATACAAATATTTTAAATATCATCAAAAATATCTTGCTCTTTCGCTCTCTCCCCCCTTCCTCCCAAAAAAAGATTATTTTAGTAATGTTGTGGTGATATACTTTGAAAATATATAATGTGAAGATAAAAAGTGGTAAAAAATTAAACTAAAACTGCCTCTCTAAACGACCGCTAAATTTACATGGAGGATATTAGAGCTAATACAGATATAAATAGGCTATTTATACGTTATCAGTAATCGGAGACGGATAGGCACTGTTCTTCCGAGATTGAATCATAAAGTCAGGGGTCTTATCTATATGGTGATAATTGATAAATCGACTCAATTTCCATTTCCGCCTCTCCAGAAACGTCGCCTCACAGATAATAAATTGTTATTGAAGTGGATTGTTCATTTTTTAAATTTCTATGGAGGAGATCTATCTAGCCAGCGACCCGGACTTATCTTCGATTACCCTAATACCATGTTGTTAATATCACTCAATAATATTCCTTATTCCGGAACGCTGCTCGTTACGTATCCGGCACACGCACATCCTAGTTTTTATAATATATTATTGTTGTCTGTAGTTGTCACGCTCAAGATGGTTATTTAAATAATTTAATTTTTGATCGGGTTTTACGCAAATTAGATCCTACATAATAATAACTCGGCGTGTGTGGTGTTTGTGATTATATTTTGCGATGATGGTAAGTACATGTTGGTATATGATAAAAAATTATCTGCCGAATTTCCGTTTCGCATTACCACCACCGCGTCGAATCTCTATGCCTACGTATATACAAACAGGAGTGGGCAAAATAATAATAATAGTAATAAAACAAAAAAAAAAAAAAAAAACGTTTGCATTATATACAATATATATAATAATAT